TTTCTAGGGAAAGGAAGGGGCGTGGCAACCTGAGGTTTGGTAGCTGTACCCAGACGGGGATGTCTGTGACTTCCCCAGGCAGCAGTTCTTCCTCCTCTGTCCCCACCTCCAGGGTCCTCCTCACACTGAGCACTTTGTGGAGACTGTCCCTCCTGGGCTACCATGTCCACCCCAGCTCTGAACTGGGAGGAGGGGACGTGTTTAGGGTGCCGGGTCGGGGTGCTAGGGCTGCATTTGCTGCAGAGGAGGGAGCCACCCCTTCTTTCCAGCTTCAGTCTCTGACTGGGTCACCTGTCCCTGGACTGGGCTTCCCTGTACCCTTCCCAGGTCAGCTGGGGCAACCCATGTCCCCAGGCTACCTCCTTCTCTCCTGAGTGATACAGAGTCTCAACTAGGTTCTCTGCTTATTATCCTGGGATTGGGGACTTCTTCCCAGCCTCCCAGGGCTTTGGCCCTCAAGTCTGGGATGGAGAGGCTGACAGGCGGCACGCCTGGCCCTGGGGATAGAGGCTTCCCTTTGGGGAGTGGCTGGGCTTTGTTCTCCACAGCAGAAGGAAAAGAACGTGTCCCAGAGCCTGCCTAGTCCAAAAAAGAATAAGAAAATGCACAATCCCAGGAAAAATGTCAAGTAACCTTTGGGAGGGCGAAGAGGGGCTCCATTCTCAGTTCTTAGCGCCCACCCAGGGCCTTTCCCATCTGCCACCCTCCACATCTGGCTGGCGGATTTGTGCCTGGCCTGGCCTCCGGGCTTAAGGCCAGCCTCCCCCACTTGAAATGGTGGTGGTGACCCACCCACCACGCCTCTCAAGCTGCTGTCAGGGTCCTGCCTGGAGGAGCCTGTGTCCTCCTCCAGGTGCCTTCTCTTTCTCCAGTTTTTCTGACGCCCCCACCCCTACCTCAATGCTCCCTACTCACCAGCGACCCAAAGGCGGGGTGGGGGCAGGAGGGGCCAGGTTGGGCCCGCCTCACCCTGGCTGCCGAAGGGGCGTGCACCGCAGCAGCAGGATCATGAAAGTCAGACGGCAGGAGGGACTCTTGCGGCGCCTGGGAGGAGGGTAGCGCCAGGAGCCCTGATCGGCTGGGGGCCGGGGGCGCAGCGCCTCCCTGCCTGAAGGGCTGAGTGGCTGCCAGATCCAGCGGGGTGGGGGCGGGGGCGGACAGGGTGTCCCGCCCCGGCCTCTCCTCACCGGGCTGGCGGGGGAGGGAGACGCGGAAACCTGGGTTCTTCCGGCTCCCCACCTTTAAGCAATCACTTCTGTAATTTGAGCTCCACAAAAAGGGGAACCTGGCTGCAGCGCCCTCCCCTGCCGCGGGGGCGGGCTCCAGTTCCACTGCGGCCCAGGGTCCACGTGGACCTGGCGGCAGGAGTCCTTGGGGTTCGAGTCCCGTGCGCCGGCTCCTGAAGCCCTGCCCCGCACGGTCCCCGGGCCCGGCCGGAGGGGCAGGCCGCTGTCCCCAGCGGCGCGCGCATCACCAGCCGCGCTCCTGGTTGCCTCCATGCCGCCGCCGGCCCGCGCGGGCCCAAGGTCCGGCCTTGTAGTCGGGGAGGGGGCGCGGGGCGCAGTGCGCAGGCGCCCGGCAGCACTTCCCAAAGCCAGGGGCCGGGACTTCCTCGCGCCGGGAGGCGCCGGGCCCGCCCCGCCCGCCGCGCCCCGCCCCGCCCCGCGCTCGGCCGGCTCCACACCCCACCCGCCCCGCCCGCGCTCGGCCCCCACAGTCGCTGGGGGTGGCCCGGAGGGTTGAGGTGTCGTGTGAGCCCCGCCTCGCCGACGGAGCTGGTACGGTGTAGATGGGGGTGTGGCCGTGGCCCTGACTCTGCTCGCGGGGCCGCTCCTGCCTTGCCATGCGTGGGACTCAGCAGGAGGCAGGAGAGCGGCCTCGCATGCTGCTTGCCCTGCTTGGGAAAGAGGCGGCTGCTGGAAAGGACTGGATCGGCGGGCACGCCAGCCCGGCCCACCCTGGGCCCTGAGTCTCGTCTGTAAAACTGGGTTAAGAGCCTGTCGTGCTGTGGGGGTTCTCAAGGAAGGGAGTTTCCTGTGCTGCGGGCTGGGAGAACTGGGGGTGCGGGTTCAGGCATCCGGAGTCATGCCGAATGTCTCTCGCGGGCCTGGCAGAGTCCCTGCTGACCCGTGTGTGTGTCCTAAGATGTCCCAGCTTAAAGCCACACGGTCCCTACACTTAACGTCCTGTCCCTTTGGCTGACTCTTCTCATCCTTTATGACTCGGTACAGATGTGGGTCAGGCTTCTCATCGCAGCGTGCTTTGGCCTAGTGTCGGTGGCCCTGACCCTGCTCCGAAGTGTCTGTATGATCAGCCCCCGCCCCTCCCCGGGCCCAGCTGTGTAGCTCCTGTCCTACCTTGGCACAAGACCGACCGATAGCTCCCAGTGTCGGGGTCCTGCTCATCAAATGCCTTCCAATTGCACAGGTCAGGTGCACACTTACACCTTCACAGAACTCTGAGGGGTGGAAAGGAGATTTAATGGTGTTCCTTCATTCAATGGACAAGTATCAGCATCTGGGTGCCCCTGTGGGCCAGGCAGTGGGACCAGAAGCCAGCAACATAGATGGGCCTGGATCTGATGCTAGGGGCGTAGAGTGAGTTGGGAGCAAGCAGGGAAGGCCTGAGTGAGAGGCGGAGGGCTGAGAGCGGGGGCACAGCTGCTGAGGGGGAGGGCCCAGCGGGAGGTCGGGAGGTCAGAGGGCTCCTGGAGTGACAGATCGTCCTCAAGCTGCACCCAGAGGCCTGGGCTAACTTGACTGCAGAACCCTGTGACTGCCATGTTATCAGGCCAGGCAAGGAAAGGCAGGGGCCAGGAAGTCCATAGGGACAAGAGGCAGGCTGCTGCTTATTCAGCCCAAATAACACTTCTGAGAGGTGGGCACAGGTGAGGTCAGGGAAGCTCAGTGAAGATGGGCCAGCACCTGGTCCGGGCCACACACAACCAGCCGACCCCGCCTGAGCCGGCCTGTTGTCTCCACTGTGGGAAAATGCAGTGTGGGCAGCTGGCAGTGGGTAGGTCAGTGCCCTCCTGCCGCCTCAGGTCACTCTATAACTCCCCCAATCATTCCCCCATCTCCTCTGGCTCCCTTGCACTCCAAGGCCTCCACTCCCTGGCTTCTGCCCCCTCGGCACAGAGCATCCCTGAAGTCCATGGATGGAGCCAGGTGAGCTGGGCAGTTGATGGTGGAGGTGGGATTTGAACCCAGAACCCTCTGCCCCCTCACAGCCCTCAATATATTGGGCTTTGGACCACATGCCTTCCTTCCCCATAGAGCTACAGGCAGGCATCCTCCAGGCCATGCAGAAACGCCTGGGCCCCCATTCTCCAGCCTTTGCACATCGAGCCCCCGCTTCCATGCGGATCAAAGGGCTTGAGTGCTGGCCTGGACCCTGGTGCAGTCACTGAGGCTACTGTCTTGCTGGCCTTCTGGTGCTGGGCCTGTTGGGCCTGTCTCTGCTCTTCTTCCTCTTGCCTGTCTGATGGTGAGTGACCCATCCTTCAGAGCACTGCTGCAGTGGTGCACCAAGACCCTTCTTCAAGATGAAATGGAGTCTCAGAGAAATGATGAAATAATATGTGATTCTCCCAGTAGATGAACTCATTCTAGGTACTCAGTCAATCCTCAAGACACAGAATCCTGAGGTCCAGGCCGTAGGAGTTTGGCCAGAGGACAATGTGGCTGGCTGTCAATACATGTCACAAGTACATCAGGTGTGAGTGGACTGCCCTCCTGGACAGAGACTGCCTCCTTCCTTGTCTGTCTGTTCTGCCTGGGCCTCTCTTTCTCCCTGGCCTCCTTCCTCTCTATCCTTCCTTCCTGAAACCCTCCTGCCATCTCTCTGTCCCCCCGCTTTTGTCAGCTGACTTCTGAGCTGTGTATACAGTCTGGGCTTGGCCGGGCGCTGTGGCAGCAACAGCCCAGAAAGAGCAGGCGCTCCGGTGCCTGGGGAGAAGGGCCTGGCTGAGGGGCACAGGACTCACCCCGGCCGCGGTTGGGGAGAGAGACACTGGCTGCCATTGAGCTGGAACCCCTTCTGGACCTCAGTTCTGACTCCTCTGCCCTCCTTCCAGATCTGCTCTGGGCTTCAGGCAGTCATAGCTGGAGCTCTGCCAGGAGGAGGGGCTTGTCTGAGTCTTGCCTGCCTGTGCAGCCTGCTGGGGCAGGGGTCTGGGAGGGAGGAAAAGGGAAGCAGGGCCTAGGGAAGCCTCAGGTTCTGCAAAAGAGCTCATGTCGGGAGAAAAGTAAGGTCTGCCCAGAAACCTTTGGGCTTAGAGTTCAGGATTTGTAGGTCGTGGGCCTGTTTGTCAGAATGGGACAGGGGTGGTTTCCTTTCTACTCCGTGTGTGTGTGTGTGTGTGTGGGGGGTGGGGTGTGGGTGGGGGGGGGGGGGGTGGGGGGGTGGGGGGTGTGTGGGTGTGTGTGTGTGGGGGTGTGTGGGGGATGGGTGTGTGTGGGGGGTGGGTGTTCATGGGCATTAAGGGGGTCAGCAGGAGGCTATTCAGGATGGAAAGGAAGGCCACGGGTGGGTTTTGTGTGGGGGCAGCAGGGGTTCCCTTCCCAGTCTCTGGTCCTCTGGGCACAGCTGGTGCCTCTTCAAAGGCCAGCTTAGGTCACTGGCTGCCCACAGCACAGCCCTCCCCAGCCCTGGCGGGATGACTCCACTGACTCACTGCAGCCTGAGGCTACCTTTGCTTCTGGGGGTGTGACTTGCTGAAACAGGCTCTTTCTCCTGGTCCTCCAAGACTGGGGTCCTCCCACAACCCACAGAACGCCTGCTGCCAATGGGGTGCAGGTCGGGATTGGGGTAGGCGTGTCCCTGACCTGTTACTTCTACACCTGCCCCACTCTGCGTCTCTCCACTTTTGGGAGAGGCCTCAATTTCTGTACCCTGATGTCTGTGAGGTGCATGGGAGAGGCAGCTCCATACTCCCGCCTCCTCGGGGTCCTGGGGGAGCGGCAGAAAGACCAGAGCGCCTTCGGAGAATTATAACTTCCCTATGTGGAGGCTGGGGCGCGTCGCACACTCTGGGTCGCCGTCACCGAGGGAAGATGCTGCCATCCACGTTCTCTCCAGGATGGTCCCACGCTACCCGCTGCCGGGAGAGAGGTTGGGGCCAGGCGAGTGCGGAGGCGTGGCGGGGCCCTCTCCTTCCGTCCTACCGGGGCTTGTCGGCACCTCTTGGCGGTCCAGGGGGTCCGGGATCCGCGTGGGCTTCAGCTGCGGCGGCAGGAACAGCTCCAGCCGGATGGCGGCGCGCGCGGACTTCTGCCGCTGATGAGCAGCGCGATCTCCTCGGCCTGCTGGCCTGGGTGGCTGAGAGCGCGCGCTGCGCCCCGCCCCGCCCGGCTCCACGCTCCGGGGCGCCCTCCTCACCGCTGCTCCCCTGCCTCGCCCTCACCCGCATGCGGGTGTAGCGCAGCCGCAGGGCGCGGACGCCCGGGCCGGCCTCCGCTGCCTTGAGTACGCCGAGGAGCCGGGGTTCTGGCGCTCTCGGCGGGCAGCTCGAGCGACTGCGTCCAGGTGCGCGGGTCGGGCATGCGGTACCCCGGCTCCACCGACCTGCACGGGAAGGTGGAGGCTGCCGCGCTCACGTCGTCCAGCAGGTCGCCGGAAGAGCAGATGGCGTGACGCTTCGCGCAGGGCATGGCCGCTAGTCCCTGGTGGCGTCAGGGCCTCAGCCCGCTTGGGGGTTTTGGTCGCGTAAGCCCACTTGGCGCGCCCTCACTCCCGCGCCGCGCCTGGCGCGCCTTTGCCGCTTCGCTCCCGCGGTTCCTTGCGCCCACCCTCCTCCCTCGCTGGCGGCGGGCATCTCCCGCGCTGGCGGAGGGAAGAGGGCGTCCGTCGGAGCCGGGCTGGCACTGGTCTCTGGCCCCTCGTGCAGGGCTCCCACCGTGCGCTCCCAGCTCCCGCCCGCTGGGCTCTACAGTGGGTTTCTGAGTCCTGCACCCCAGCCTCTGAGCTTTGCCCAGGCGCTCTCCCTCTCCCAGAGCGCACGCCCCCAGCAGCTCTGCCATCAGCTGATCCTGCTCAGTCCTGCAGTCAACTAGAACTTCTGATCAACCCAGTTGCAGTGAAGCATCTTCCTACCCTACAGACTGTGCTGTTTGAATTGAGAAACTGCCGAGACTCCCGAGCTGATCTCAGGCTCCTGCCAGGGTGACGCCATGGAGACTCTGGGTGACGCCTGGGGGACCTTCTTTGTGCCCTATGTCTGCGGTCCTGGGACTGGCCAGGTCTCCCACCAGACAGTTGGCCTTTCTTCGGGGCCTAGATGGTTGTGGGGAGCAGAGCCTAGGGGGCAGGTGACAGAGGAGGGAGGGTCCGAAAGTCCAGGTGGCTCCTTGCTTCCTGGCTCCCAGCCTACATCTGCCACCTGCCCAGCCAGGGCCGGTCGCTTGTGCCAGAAGTAGAGCCACGCGCCCCAGCGGTTGCTTCCCCGCCCCTCCTTAGCTCCAGCAGCCGAGGCCTGGTCTCACCTCTTGGTCCCCGCACCTCCTACTTGCTGCCTCTCCGGGTCGTGGTGGAACCTCCGCGGTAGCCCAGACTCTCTGGGGTTTGCTGACGCGGTTGCCCAGCAACTGGAGTCCTGCCCCTCCCTCGACCAGGTGGGACGGGACAGGCCGGCCGGGCGGGGGCGGTCCTCCGGAGGGCCCTGAGTTAGAGCCTGGGCGTGACGCGCCTCACAGGGGCCATCAAGGCATAGAGCCGGCTTCCAGCTTGGGTGAGCTGCCCTTTCCAGGCGGCGGCAGACGCGCCGCATCCTAGGGGTTGTGGGCCCAGGTTCCTGGGCTGAGGGGTCTTTGGGTTAGTTTTGTGGGTGGGACCTCTGCTATGAGGAGATTCCTTTGTGGTTCAGGCTCATCTTTCTCTGATGGCCAGGCCCTGCCCCAGCCACTGGTGTTCACAGAAAGGGATAATGGGGCAGAGCTCAGACCCTCACCTCTTCTAGGGCAAGTTTGGGGTCCCAGGGGTCCAGGTGTCCCCAGACCAGAGCTGGGCCTTTGCTGAACTCCTGTGTCTTGGGATCTTGGGTCTCAGGTACTAGATTTTAGAAATCTATTTGTGCCTTCTCATTTTGTAACTAATTTTCAATTAACTAATCATTTTATAATTCCTTCATAAGTGTTCTAGAATTTACTAATTTCACGTGCTTATTCCACAGTTTAAATTAGGCAAAGATTAGTGCATAAAGCCCAGTCTTAAGTTACGTGTCTGTTACTTCCATGAGACGCCTGTACTCTCTCGACATTCGCAGACCTGCTGGGGGCACCTCGCTGGGAGTTGGGAACTGGGAGTCTGGGAGTCGGGCCTGTCTTAGCTGAGGTTCTGCCTTTGGCAGGAGGCTGTTGGGTGTTCCCATTGTTTCTGGGAGACTGCCCTGACCTCTCAGTAAGAGGGGGAAACTTTGACATTCAGCCCTGTCCCAGAGCCGCACCCATCCTATGGCTAGGCCCATCCTTCCAGCTCCCTCAAGCTTTTACTGCTCCCTCCAGAAGGCCCTTCCTGGTGCTGTTCCTCCTCCTGCAGGTGCCTTTGGGGTCCTGCCTGGGCTGCAGCACCAGCCTGGCTTGAGGAAGGTCCTTGGTTTCTGGAAGCAGCAGTGACTGCATACAGATGCTCACCCAGCAGCTGTTTCCTCCGCAGCCTTTGTCCTCCCATAGGGTGAGTCCTTTGGAGATGGTGGACCTGGGCCATCCTCTCAGCTTCCCTGTCCGGGCCAGGGGGACACAGGGGTGACACTTTCTGGCTCTTGGTGTTTGTGGGGGAGCACGCAGGGAGTAAGGGAATGTTCTGTTCTGCACAGCGTGGCTTGTAACCTTCTTCTGTTTTAATAGGACTGGAAAACTTGACACCCCCTAGTCCATAATTCCCAGCAGGTTCCCTCCCAGGACCTTACCTGGCCTTACATTCCTCACCCCCACGTTTCTCCACACATTTGCAGTTCTTCAGGAGGGAGGCATTCTCTGTGTGTTTGGGGTCCAGAACTGTGAGACCCAGCAGGCCGACACCTCCCATCTGTTTCTGTCCCCAGGATTCACGTGTTTTTCAAGGGCTAACGGAAATGCTGAGATCTAAAGGCATGTTTATTCCTGCCAAGCCTGACAATGAACTCCCTCTCAAGTCAAATTAGTAAGCTTTATTAATGACTACAAAGTTTAACATTATATTGAGAAGCTATAACTCAATGTTTTTGTCATTGTATAAATTTTGTAGTGTTAAGATCACAAAGACAAAGTAATTTATTCTGATGAAACTCAGAATTGTTAAAATCCTTTCACTTTTTAAATAGCACATGTATGGCCTGGTGACTGGCTTCCCCACGGATGGCTGTCGGTGTGGGGCTGCCAGACCCTTGCTTGATTCTTGTACTTGGCCAGCCCAGGTGGTGAACCTGTGGAAGGAGGGGGTAGACTGTGCTGCCTCTGGGGACGGGAGTGGTGAGGACAAAGGACAGTGCTCCAGCTGCCGTCTGATTCTGAGTCACTGGATGAAGGTGAGGTGTGTATCTGCCTGGTGAGTGGGTGTGAATCTCAGCCTGAACCTAGACCTGCCTCCAAATACCCAGGAGCCTAAGAGCGGCCTGTGCCAGGCTTTGACCGTAATTCAGACGAAGTTCTGCGCTGTCATTCATGTGTCACCGTGTCGCGTCTTGGGCTATCCTGCATCTCGCCTGTTGTTTTGGCTCTGCTTAGACATGTGTGTTTGAGGTTGTCTTGCCCTCATATAACATGTGTCTCTTGCTATCTCTTGCATGTGACATATATGTTCCATATAGACCCCTGATTCTACCTTTCCCTCTGAGAGACCACCCCATCCTTGCAGGTTGGGGAGGGCAGGACTCTGTTTCGGGTCTAGAGAAACCTGGACCGTTTCCATCTGCACCACCAGCCTCTCCTCTGTGGGAGCCTTCTGGGTCTGGGGCTGACCTCTGCCAACCCCAGGAGCATAGTCAGTGTCACACCTGGCCACCCCCTGGCCAGGTGACCAGGCCTGTCCTCTCCTCTCTAAGACTGTGCCTGTGGGAGGGCTGGGGACGGTCTCCTGCGGGTCTCTGCGGGTGCATTCACCATGGCTTCCTGTGAGGATGCCTGCTGAGACCAGAGCTCACAGGCCTAGCCTGGCAGCCGACATTGAATCACAGCTGCTAGGAAAGTTCCCGAGGGCTGGGGTCCTGGGGCTTCTTGGAGGAGGTAGACTGGAGCTGGCTGGGTGGGGCAGGATCTCATGCAAGGGGCCAGGATCGTGCATCGAGGCTGCAGGATCTCTGCATGGGGGCAAGAGTCTTCGCAGTGAGGACTTTTAGGAGGTGACAGAATCTGTGCGGGGTGCGGAGTCTTTGCAGCGGGCCAGGATCTGTGCAGTGGGTGGGATCACATTGGGAGTCAGTGTCTGTTCATGGGAGTGGGGGGACAGGACTCTGTCCAGGGAGAGCAGGATCTGTACAGAGGACCAAGATCTATGCAGGGGATAGCATCTGTGGGGTGGGGGTACAGTCTGTGCCGGAGTTCGGGGACGGACTTTGCAGGTGGGTCAGGATCTGCTCAAGGGGTAGGATGTGCAGGAGGCTAGGGTCTGCGCAGAGTGGCCAAGATCTGTGCAGAGGGCTAGTGTCTTTGCAGAGTGGCCAGGGTCTGTGCAGAGCTGCCAGGGTCTGTGCAGAGGGAAGGTCTTTGCAAGGGGGCAGGATCTTTGCAGGGGGAATGTATGCAGGCAGGTGCATGGCGGTCAATGCCGGGGGCAGGGTCTGTACCAGGGCCAGGTCTATGTGGGTGGGGGGCAGGTTTTGTGCAGGGGGCCTAGGCTGTTCAGGTGCCAGGGTCTGTGCAGGTGTGGTTTGCAGCAGGTACAAGGGAGGAGGAGCTGTCCCTGGTTCTATGGTTATGAGCATGTCAGGCAGGATGACACAGAACACAGGTTCAAGGGAACACATTATAAGACTGTAACACCTGACTGGGGAGGCCACGGCCTTCTGCTGACACTGAACGGCTCCTCACAAAGGAGTTGAGGTCTCTATTGACTCTGAGCCAGGCAAGGCAGAGCTGGAACTGCCTTGGTGGGGTGTGCAGGTGGCTGGTTGCTATTGCTATGAGAAGGCTTGGGGTCAAAAGAGGTGGGAGTCAGGAGCTAGGTCAGACCTCATCCCCCTCCTTCTTCCTCTGTCCTCCTTCTATCCCCAATGTGTTTTCCTCCCCCTTCTCCCCTCCTTTCTTATCCATCCTCCCTCCTTTGATCTCCATACTTCCTCCCCGCCCTTTCCCCTTCCTCCTCCTCCCCATCTCAACCCCCTCTTCATCCTCCTCTCTGGCTGCAGGGAGGAAGTTTTGGGGTGACTCCAGGTGGCAGGCAGACATGCTGAGGGAGAGGTGTCTAGCAGGGATGAGGTGCCTGTGTCCCGCACTCTGCCCCTGGCCTCTGACGCTGGTTCCTGGGCCGGGACATGAGGTGGGCCTTGTCCCTTCCCTTTACAAGGCCTCAGTCCTGCCCCACCCTCAGTGCCTGCAATGCCCAGGCTGGGTCCCAGGCTGGGAGGCAGGCTCAGGAAGCTGGGGTAGGAGGGTCTAGGGTCTCCCGCTCAGACCTTGGTGAGCCCAGCTGGGGTTGGGGACTGCAGGAGTCCAAGCCTGCCTGATTCCTGCCCCTCTCGGCTCCTGAGGTCAGGGGCTCATCCTGAGCTTTGCCTGGTGCGTGTTTGTGCATGTGGGTCCTCTGGGTGCTGGAGGGCCTTGGCCTGTGTCTGCCTGTTCCCGTGTGTCTATGCACACTCTAGGTCTACCATGTGCCTGTGTGCACCTTGAAGGCCATCTTGCACGTGTGTGGCCCGTGTGTGTTTGATGTGTTTCAGGTATCCTGCAGTGTCTGCATTTCTGAGTGTGTAACTTGTCTCTGTGTGTTCACCCGTATGCCTGTCTGGGCATCTGTTTGTGTAAGGTTTGCAGGGAATGTGTGTCCCCATGTGTCCCTTTGAGTGTTCTTCTGTTGATGCAAGGCTCCCGTGCCTTCACACGTCCCTGAGTCTTGCCTATGAAGATGCAGGGATAAGTCCTGGGACAGCGAGAGGCTGGGTCCTGGGGCATCTGCCTGTCTCCATCCTCTCCTGATTTGCCAGGTATCCTAGCAACCCCTTGCTGCCAGTTGCCTAGCAACCAGGTCCTCACTCTGGAGAAGTGTGCTCTGAGGAGGGTCTGAGCTGTGTGGGGACAGGTCTGGTTCTCCTTCAAAGCTCGTGCAGGAAGTACGACCCTGTGACCGGGTGGGAGCTGGTGATTCAGCTCAGGGGTCACCCAGACAGCCTTGACCTGTGACTCATCTCAGTGATCAGGCATGGGACCTGAGCTGAGAAGGAGGCACTCTAAAGGAACCGCTCAGCTGTGTGGGTGCCAGGGCCTGTCTGAGGGAGTGATGCTCAGCATTGATCTGGACCCAGCTGTGGCAGAGGTGCCCCTTTGGCGTTTCAACCCCTGTCTCTGACACAGGCGGCCCTACACCTCTGAGGCTTCCATGTCGCAGTGGCCGGTACAGTGAGGTGACTGAGCCCAGGAGAGCACACAGTAGGTGCTGGGCCAGTGCCGTGTCCTGGACCCAAGCATCTTGCCTGCGTGTTTACAATGAAGCTTTGATCTGCCAAGAGCTGGCCAGGTGGGGGCATTTTTTGGGGTGCTGGGAGCCCAACTGCAGGGTCCGGCCAGTCTGTC